AAACTTAATTGTTTAAAAAAAATGGTTATGACACAACTTTTTGTCAAGAAAGAAGAACTATCATTGGAGTCGGTGAAGCAGTACAAGATGAATGTTCCAGATGAACTTTCCAAGGTTATGGTGATCAAAGAGAGGATTTTTGAATTTGGAGAACGCCTAGGGAAAACAATAATATTTGTACGCACAAGCAATATTGCTAGTACGTTGCATAGATCACTTGTTGAGCTTGGTTATAATTTTACCACAATTCAAGGTGCTCTCAATCAAGCTGACTGAGACAAGATAGTTAAAGAGTTTAAAGATGGTTTGACTCAAGTCCTCATTTCAACGGATCTTCTTACCCGGGGTTTTGATTTGCAACATGTTAATTTGGTCATCAACTATGGTCTTCCTGTGAAACATGACAATCGTATAGAGCCTGGTTGTGAGGTTTACTTGCATAGAATTGGTAGAGCAGGGCGTTTCGGTCACGAGGGAGTTGTGTTCAACTTACTCTGTGGTGATGCGGACCAAATGTTTCAATGATGTTGCTGGTGTCTGATTTGTTTCACCTTGTTGTTATGGAATAGATTTTTTAAAGATTTTTTTGAATGTTCATTCACATCAAAAGTTTGCAGTGAGTTCAATTCTTTACTGCTAAGATTTAGAGTCTGGTTTTGCCTATGCGACCGAAATCAAACGGATCTTGAAAATTTGTTTCACGGATCTCTATCATGGGTTCAACGCCAAAGCATGGTCATTATCTTCAGTGTCTTTTCCCGAAAAAAAGAAAGGTGAATAGATTAGAATGAAGGGAAGCATCACACTTTCCATTCAAGTAGAACAGAAGGAAGTATCGTACTTTCGATTCAAGTAGAACGGAAGGAAGCATCGCACTTTTAATTCAAGTAGAATGAAAGGAAGCATCACAATTTCGATTCAAGTAGAACGAAAGGAAGCATCACACTTTCGATTCTAGTGTTCCTCTTTACATCAAGAAGGTCGAAGAAGTCGGGTGAATGCTAGATAAACAAATAGTTGTTAGATTGTTAAAAATTAGTTAGCTAAAGTGGTTAACTTGTTGTTGGGCAGTTAACAGCCATGGCATTCATGTGATTTGTTGTATATAAATCTTTGTATACATTACTAATAAAATAATTCTTCATTCCTCAATTTTCTATTCCTTTGTTCTAATATTCCATCATGGTATCTTTAGCCACATTCATGGTGGTGGGATAGCCACACCAGCCCCAAGAATTCAAAATGGCTTGCAGAAAATCTTGAGGGTAAGCAAGTATAAGTTCACCCTTAGTATAAAATCCTGCATCCATCTCTAGTAAGAAAATTGATTTTCTCTCGTGTTTCTGAATTGATGATTTATTTTCTTTCTTGTATGTGCATAAAGAGCTAACTGTTCCAATTGTGACAATGATCATCCTATCAGTAAAATGATGTTGTTCTTTATGTTCTTTATGATGAAATTGTTAATACGAGATGAAGGGCGTGGTAGTATAATATTAGCAATCTACTGCTTTCTCCGTGCCCTCGTACATGATTTTGTTTCTGAATTAATTTGAATTTCTTGTATGTCAAGCAAGATAAAATAATGGTAAGATTGTGACTACAGAAATGGATTGTAGATTAAAAACGATGCTGAAGCTGATTGAAGAAGATGCAGACTTCTTTGCCAAAAAGGCTGAGATGTATTATAAGAAGAGGTCGGAACTTATAGTTCAAGTTGAGGAGTTCTACCGCATGTATCGTTCTTTGGCCGAGCGTTTTGATCATCTGACAAAGGAATTTAGGAGGAACATGCCGTCAGACATTGGCTCTGATCTTCCCCCTAGATGTTCCTCTCCGGATCAAAGGTCGAGTCGTCGTAAATCCGCCCTACTGCTGCTGGTGTTGATGTCTTCCTTGCTTCTGGTGAGAAAAGCTCTGTTGTGCACACAAAAGGAGATAAGTCATCTTCTTCAACAGATTCTGAACCGGAATCTGATGATTACTCAGTTTTATCAGGGAATGAGGGTGATCAAGGGGTGAGTGGGAAAATGGCTGAACTGGAGATTGATCTAAATGAAATGAAAGAGAAGCTACGGATGCTAGAAGAAGAGTGTATTGAAAGGGGAGCAAAACATGATAATTTGGATCTTCTTGCTAGAATTATATAGTACGAAGAAAAAATGAAAATTGCTAATGAACGAATACAACTTTCCGAAGAAAAAATCGCTTCCCTGAAGATCGAGATCCAACAGTAAAAACAACTCAGAACAACTGGCTCAGAATCATAGATAGAAGAAAGTGTGAAGATGGACAAAGAAAATGAACATGTAGTTAGCAAGATACAGGCATTGTTGGAAGAAAATGCTAGTTTGAAGCTTGAGAAGAAAGATCTGCAGGGTAATCCCACTTCGACTCGAAGCGAAATTGTGGAGTTGAAACTGGAGCTAACTAAGAGAAGCAATTACATTAAAGTTCTAAATGAAGGCCTTGAGACTTCGAAATCGGAAAGAAATGCGCTTAAGAGCGAGATGTATTCACTCAAGGCCAGTGTTAGTTCCAGGGAAGTTCGGATTGTTCAAATGGACATGCATCTTCACCAATTACATATGGAACATGTGAAGCTAATTGCTAAAGCAGAAGCATCTCAAAGATTGGAGGAGGAATTGCTATCCTAAGTTAAAAAACTAGAGGATGAGACCAAGAGGCAAAGAGTCGCAATACTCGACGGAGCGGAAGCGAAACCAGAAGCTATAAGGCAGCTTTGCTTCACCCTCGGGCACTACAGAAACGGGTATCATATGCTCCGGCGGCAAGCATTTATCGGCAACAACCGAGTTCGGGTTTTAACAACTTGATTAATATGCAATGTTATAATGAAAAGGATTTGAAGTTTCTTTATGTTTTGGTGTACATTTGATGTTTGAATAGTTTTCCCACTGTAGACATATCAGTTAAATCATCATCATAAGTAATAAGAGGGATTGATGCTGCAATGGTTTGGGTTTAAATCTTGCATTTAAAGTAAGATATTTATAGATATGTCATAATCTGATGTATAATGAAAGTACTCTTACAATGGCAATTTACCAATAAAATGTTGAAGAAATAAGAGTGTGTACATGCACAACTCATTACGTGCATTTTAAACAAGTCTTTGCAGCTTCATTGATAACTTCATAAGCCCATAATAGAACTCATATTGTGCTGAAATTTCGATTTAATATCTATAATTTAATTTGGTATAGTTTGGTCAAATTTTATATAACATTTTTGTATTATGGGTTGTTAGTGAACCTTTCTCTGCATGATCTTCTCCCTAGAGTTGAGTATAGGGATGGGCATTTCATCCTATTCGACCCGATCGATTTTTTATTTTGAATCTCCTGATTTGGGTTTAATCAAGTTTTTTTAAGGACGTGAATCAGGTCGGATTCGAATTTAATATAAAATACTCAATCTAATACAACATAATATTATAAACATTTTTTATATTTAGAGATAATTGTAATAATATTCTTTTTTATTTTATATTTTTTCAATTAGATTGTTGTTTTAACTAATAAAAATAAAATTTATATTAAGATCAAATCAAATAGGAGTTTTAACCTAAAAATCCAATCAAATTTCCAGTGAAATAAGATCTTCTTAAATCATTGATCGTGTCGGATATGGATGAAAAGATTTATTAATCAAGTTAAGTTCAAGTGACCAAATTCGATCCCGCCCATGAACATGCCCGTTTGAGCAAGATTCCCTTGTCATTAGGGAACCTAAAGACGGTGATGGAAGCCTGGACCCTGTGGATGTTTAGGGTATCCCTTAAAGCTGGTCACCCTTAATGTAGAGAAACCCCCACCCCACCACACACACAGTCTGAGGTCCTTTGAAATATAATAATTGCATGCCTCCAGGGTGGGTTTCTTTGTACAGATCAATCCCAAAGTCCTTAAAATCTTACACAAGAATAAAGAGATCATTAATCTCATCCAACCACCCCCGAAAACTAAATTTTGTCTTTTCTCGTATTTTCTCCTTACCTCAATCATAATTACCCTCTATATTTTATTTCAACATTATACATACGGTCTGATTCTGATTTCAGTTCCTACAGTATGCTAAAATTTTAGATTTAATCTCTATATTCTATATTTTCATAATTTGATCCCTTTATTAGTTGTCACAGTCAAACCGATTTTGAGTTTTTTTTATTCTTATTTAATCACATAATCAAGCTATATGTATCAACCATGTTCAACCAATAATAAATGAACATGTCAAAGTAAAATAAAGGGATCAAATTCTGAGTTTCAGCATAGTAGAGGGACTAAAATAAAAGATGAATCAGAGGAAAAATAAAGTTTTGTTTCAAACTATCCAAGTAAGAAGCAGAGGAAGCTAGGATCTATAAAGAATAAATCCTGATAGACCCAACTTTTGTTTTTTCTTTTTCTAGAAGAAATAGAGATGCAAGTAAATATGTAAAAAGAAGGAAGAGAACTGATTCCGGTAAGCTGTAATAATCAGTTCTCTATTATTTTTTTCCCTTTAATTTGCAGTGTCAGCATCCTTCACCGTCCTTCATTGATATGCACACTTTTCTTTTTACCTTGATTCTCAAGCAAACTCCACCCAATTGCAATGCAATATAAACATAGGAACATAGGGTTTGATGGGAAAGCTCTTGAAACGGAAGTTGGAAACTTGCAATCACTCGTATATCTGGAGATTAATGTTTAAAACATGCAATAATGGTAAAAATATCTGTAATCTTTTTTGTTGAGGGATAAAATCTGCATAAAATGAAAAGTACGGGGACCATTTGACACAAAAAAACTTATATAATGAATTAAACAAGAGGAGTCTAAAGGTAACATTTGACCAGAACTGAATGTTGTTCTCTATATAACACATCAGCCTTAGCTAAGCATCTTGCTTCAAAAGTAAAGAGCATTGAATAGGCATATAAAAGGTGAAGAAGATCATAGCAAAATCAATCTGCTAAACTCTTCTTTTGATGAAAGCCGAGGAAACAAAAATGCCACTCGGAGACGACAAATCGGGACACCGTCAACCGATCGGCCTCCTCAAGAAACAGCTCGAGGCTTCCTTGGCTATAAACAATTCATTGGTGAAAGAAAATCAGGACCTAAAACAGGAGGTAGCTCGTTTGAAAGCACATATCAGTTCCCTCAAGGCACATGACAATGAGAGAAGATCATTGCTTTGGAAGAAGTTGCATAACTCCAAGGAGGACATCAATTCGGACGCGTTGCAGCAGAAATCATCGGATTTCGTCGATTCGGAAAATGTGTATCCAAGGCCGATTTTCCAGGATTTGGCTATGAGAAAAGAACGGCAATTCGAAGCACCAAAATCACCATCAAGGTCTCATCATCCTTTTATCTCTGCATATCCTGAGGAAGTGAATGAAAACAAAGCTAAAGCGCCATTGGTACTAGCACCTCCAGCACCACCATTGCCATCGAAATTGTTAGCAGACTCTAGATCGATCCGCCGTGTACCCGAAGTCGGGGAGCTTTATCGTTCTCTAACGAGGAAGGATGCCAGCATTGAAAACAAAACCAACGTGACAGCAACCCCATTGCTTGCATTTACTAAGAACATGATAGGCGAAATCGAAAACCGATCAACTTATGTCTCAGCTGTAAGTACATTAGCCTTTCACTTCCAAATCCAAACCCCACTTTTATTTCCTAACAAAATGTCGATATTGATAAATGAACACAGATCAAATCTGACGTCGAAAAACAAAAGGAGTTCATAAATTTCTTAATCTCGGAGGTACAATCTGCAGTCTTCAAAGACATATCAGACGTTGAAGTATTCGTGAAGTGGTTAGATCAAGAACTATCTTCCCTGGTGGATGAAAGGGCAGTTCTGAAGCATTTCCCACACTGGCCGGAGAGAAAAGCCGATGCGCTGAGGGAAGCTGCGTTCAGCTACCGAGACATAAAGAAACTCGAAGCCGAAGTATCATCGTTTAAGGCCAACCCCAAAGAGCCATTCAATACAGAGTTCAAAAGGATGAAAGTATTGCAAGACAGGCGAGCATGTATAAACTGAGCTACTTGCTATAAATCTCGGATATTTGGAATCAATAGTAAGAATTAACTGCATGATGAAAAACCTTTCAGGTTGGAGCAAAACGTGAATAACATAGAAAGGATGAGAGAAAGCAGTATCAAAAGATACAGAGATTTGCAGATCCCGTGGGAATGGATGTTGGAAACTGGTTTGATTGGTCAGGTAGGTAGATCTTAATGTTATGCTTCTCAAAACAATGAATTTTAATTACAAAAAATGAGCAACATTTTCACATTACCTATATTCAGGGATGGAGTCAATATTAAATATTGACAGGGGCCAAAATATTAGACTGTTTAAAAAATATAAAGACTTATTAAGTATTTAAACTCGAAATTCAGTATGAAAAAGTGACCTTAGTGATTAAGGAGATTATTGTTATCATTTAGGTCTCGGGTTTAAGCACTGCGTATGTAGAGGTATGAGCGTTAATTGTCAAATAGTTGAAAGTCTTTGTACATATACTATCTTGTATTCACCTTAAATTTATAATAAAAAACTTAAAAATTCAAAATACAACTTTTAATTTGTCTAATATTTTAACTTACAATGACCTAAATTGTAATTAGACTAAAAATTTGAGAACATGTACTTATTATTCCTTAATTCGACCACTACTTTATTAAATATTTAATAAATTTTTATATTTTTTAAATTTAAATATTTATTTTGACATGAACCAAAATACTATTAAACCAAAATTACATCGAATATACAAATTTTAACAGGGCGGTACCTCTTGCGCCCTAAGGGAGTTCCGTCCTTGCCTATATTCAACCATGAAGTGCATTTGAAGGGATCATCAATCTAATGAAATTAACATTGCTAATGAAGGCAGGAGATTCATCATTTTAAAGCTTCTCTTCCTTTCCTTTTCTCGAGCCAACTAAACAAACTAAAATTGGACAAATTGAGGTGGCCGAGTGGTCAAGGATACTCATGTTATCTCACATTGTATGGATTTGCATCTGCTTTTAAGAAATTGGTAAACTACACGTTGGGTGACCAAAATGGAATAAAAGTGATATGTGGGTACAAAACGTGTAGTTTAGCCCCAGAAATGGTCAAATGTGAAGATAGGGTAGAATTATGGTTTTAGTCCCTGTCCTAGACTTGTATGCGAAAACATTCCATGATTTTTGTTGCAGATGAAATTCAGCTCACTCAGGCTAGCGAGGGAATACATGAAAAGAACGAGCAAAGAGGTGCAATGGAAGGAATGTCCACAGGAAACCAATCTGTTGCTTCAAGGGGTTAGATTTGGTTACAGAGTGCACCAGGTAATAACCAAAAAGAGTAAATCAAATTCAACTCCGAGAAATGCTAACCATTGGAAGATTTCAGTTCGCAGGTGGTTTTGATGCAGAGACGATTAGTGCATTTCAGGAATTGAACAAGATAAGCAATAGGCTCAGACATGTTTAATCCAAATGTGTGTCTTCTTAAAGACGCATGCGTAGATTAATAAATATTTATGTGTCAACTTTAAACTGACTATTTTTATACAAGGAGCCTTTGTATTTGTATACATGGAGCCTTTAAAAGATGGGATCACTTATTTATGTTTTGAGATCTCTTTGTTCATATATTGATCATCACTCAGTATCCTTATTTCTACAATTATCAAATCACGTATCTATTTAATTTACTTAATAATCGTAATAATTTACAATATCATACTGTGATTGTGTATCTGAAATATAGGGAATGTTCTTTACATTTTATGTTGAATGTATTTGCATTTAGATTTTATAAACTCAAATGACATTTCCTCTTTTAAATCAAATGAAAGGTTGAAGTTTTATTTCTGGTGGGATATATACAATGAGTTAAACATTTACTTTAATAGAGAAAATAATCTCATTGACAAAAAATGCCTTATAATATACGATTTTAACCAACTTTTTTTTGATTTAACAAAATGACCAACTAAATCGCATGCGATTGATAATTCGCAACGGACGTGTCGAAGACACGTATTACCACGACCACGACCACGACCACGACACGACACGAGACGGCGGCGGCGGCGACGCGCGAGAGTCCCCCTTGTTCTCTATCACTCAACAAGGAAGTGGGAAAGCCAAGCCTTAAATACCATTCTCAATAGTGTTTCCAATACTATGTGGGATTGAGCATTACCAACACTTGTTTCCAATACAATGTGATTATTCAGGAAACAATTAACAATCATGCACCTTAAAACAACTGAATCAGCAACCAATTGTATTAGTATTATACGATTAAATATGTCATAATTAAAAGTCAATCTACAATCAATCGCGATTATTGCAATTTTAAGCAAAACACTCAAAAATAATATCACTATTTAAGGTTCAATCCCACATAGTATTGGGAACAAATGTTGGTAATGCTCAATCCCACATAGTATTGGAAACAATATTGGGAATGATATTTAAGGCTTGACTTTCCCACTTCCTTGTTGAGTGATAGAAACAAGGGGGACTCTCGCCCGCCGCCGTCGTCCGTCTCGTCTCGTCTCGGGTCGGGGTCGTAGTCGTAGTCGTGGTCGTGGTAATGGTAATGGTAATGGTAATACGTGTCTTCGACACGTCCGCGCGAATACTATCTTTTTAGAGAAAATTCTTAAGAAACAAATGCAATACCACCCGTCGTTGCGCGATAGTCGACTATCGCAATGCGATTTACATATTCGCATTGCGATAGTCGAAGTTCGCATTGCGATAGTCTAAGTTCGCGTTGCGATAGTCCAAGTTCGCATTGCGATAGTCGAAGTTTGCGTTGCGATAGTCCAAGTTCGCATTGCGATAGTCGACTATCGCATTGCGATTTACATATTCGCATTGCGATATTCGACTATCGCATTGCGATAGTCTAAGTTCGCGTTGCGAATCTGGAAACTGATTTGCGATACCGGAGATCGCGTTGCGAATTATCGATCGCATTGCGATTTAGTTGGTCATTTTGGCAAATCCAAAAAAAGTTGGTTAAAATCGTATATTATAAGGCATTTTTGGTTAATGAAATTATTTTCTCTTACTTTATTCGTTTATATAAAACTATTTATTTATTCAATTTAAAAAAACAACAATAACAAAACCCTATTCCCACCGACAAAATAAGAAAGAAATAATTTATTTATTCGTTTATGCCCCATGGCTTGAAGAGGCAATATACAGCCGCCATCATTTTTAGATCAAAACGATATATATCCACTGGCAATTAGGAGTTGACACCTGTCATTCCTCTAGCGTACGTACACGTGTTACACGAATAAAGGGAGATTAAGATATATTACTTAGAAGCAATGCCGTATCTAAGCAAAAGGATATATGGGCCCCAAATCCAACCCTCCCAGCCGAATTGCCTTTCTTTATCAAATCCAAAAATAAAAAGGACAAAATTATCTATTTTCTTTTTAAAAAAATATATATATATATTTTCTCTCGATTCAATCTTCTTATCCACCCAAAGAAAAAAGAAAGAAAATAAGAATATACTTCAGTATTTACTCAACCATGGAAGCAGCTGAACCTAAAATTTGTAGTACTGCAATCTATTCAATTTCAATTATTTAATTGTTGTTTTATAGAAGAGGGGAAAACGAGGCCAAGGGGGAGGAAGATTGGATGGGGACGGGTGCATCGAGAAACGCCGATGGAGGGTTGCATGGAGGCGAAGAACGAGAGGAGAGCCTCGACCAAGCCGGCGGTCAACTTTACGTTTCGTTGAAGATGGAGAATTACAAGAAGAAAGGAGACCTTATTCCTCATGTTTATGGCTCCGTTCCTCTCGTTGGTTCCTGGGATTCCTCCAAAGCTGTAATTTCCTCTCTTTTCTTCTTTAATCTATTCATTCAATTGTTTTCTTCGATCTTCTAATTTTTCTTTTAAATGTTAATAGCTCTCAATGGAGCGAGAATCGACTTCCATGTGGGAACTGAGCTTTGTTGTTCCCCCTAATCACGGTAAAGTGTGCTAGGGTTGCTCCACTCTTTTTTTGTTCTCCATTTTTGGGTATGGTCTGTTTGGTTAGAAAATTAAATAGAATATGTGCGTTGGGGAAAATAAGGTTATCGTATAACTTAGCAGCTTTTCAGAATTAACTTTTTCTTGAGCTATGTCGAATGAATATTTTATAGTCTACTAGTCCTCCTTTACGTTTTCAGGAACCGGGTTTCCAGATTTAGAAGCTTGGTTGTGTTTTCTGATGTAAAATTTTAAGGCTCCGTTTGTTGTCCGTTTGGTTTCAGAAGTAGTAGCTAAAGTGAAACTTAGGAATTTATTGGCAAGTGATATGTCCGGTTTAAGGTTTGTGGGGATTTTTACTTATTTGTGTTTTACATGTTTGAATGTAGAAACTTTGGATTTCAAGTTCTTGTTGAAGCCTCAGAATGGTTACACACCTTGTATTGTTGAGGAGGGTCCAAACCGACAGCTCATTGGGGGTACCTTACAAGGGGATGCAAGACTGGCACTATTTAAGCTAGATAATGAGGAGGTTCTTGAGTATCGAGTGCTGATTAAAGCAGACAGGGTTTCTCCCTTTGATCTTGCAGCAAGTTGGAGAGCATTTCAAGATAATCTCCGGCCTTCGACTGTTCGTGGTATTCCTGATGTTAGCATTAATGCAGTTCCAGAGACAGGTCATGAGGTATGCACTATTTGGCCCATGTTCTCTTAAATATTTTATTTTTAAGAGAAAAATGCTATTCAATCCTTGGTATGTATTGAAAAAGATTGTTTCACTTGTAAATTATCAATTCTGAATGATTACTCCAAGTTTTAATATGGTTGTTATTTTATTGAACTTGAATAGCTCTTCAGCTGATTGGAGCTTAACCTTGATTCTAGAGCTTTATGTTTATTAATTTACTTGGACATAAATAAGTTGTGGTTTCCTGTGTAGAATGGCTCTTCAGCTAGTTTGGAGCTTGACCTTGAACATTATGTTGTACCTGCTCCACCCACTTCAGCAAACTCTGGGCTGGTTTATGCAGCCAATTTGGCAGAAAATCCACGGTCTCTAACATTTGCTGGGGGTTGTTGCGATCGAACTGCTACTATAATGGTTTGTCTTGGTAACCCATCATGCAAATGCATAAACTAGATTGTTCTATGAGCCTTGAAAAGGATTTTAACATATTATCAGTTTAAGGATGTGGACACACAATTTTGTCACGCTACTCTGACACTTTATTTTTCTTGATGTTCCCATGTCCAACACTTTGGATGGACATGGGCGTGGATGCTCAACTCTCCCATCGTGAAAGAGTATAGACTTGTGTTCATGCCCCCATCCTTTATAGCATGGTTGTTTTCGGTATTACATGATGTGTAATATGTGAAATCATATTGTTTAGTAAACCTATATCTTAATTCTAAATAAAGTGGCAGGCATAAGAGGCACACCCATCAAGAAATTTGCAGGCAAATTGTTCTTCACATCGTGTCTTAGATTACTTGCTCAATAGGCAGATATTATTTACGAATGTTACTAAGCTCCATTATTTTGTAGTTTGCATCTAATGCAGTGTACTTACCTTTTAATAGGAGATGGAGGTTGCCATTCCGGATTCCTCTAAGGTTTATTCAGGATCTGGGACAGTTGAATCAAAATCTGTGGGAACCTTTTCACCTTTGCAAAAGCAAGACAATCACAGGGGGCTCTTTGTGGATAGGGGTGTTGGATCTCCCAGGATGGTCAAATCTTCTCGTTCAGCTGCTTTTAGTTTTGAACTTAAACTGGGCAGTCAAAATAAGGTTTGTATGACATGTTTCCTGTTCTTAGTAAAGAATGCTTTGTTCTCTCTTTCCGGTGGTATTCTTATATTTACATTTTTCCTTGGATTTTTAGAATTCAATGCCTGCAGCTGCTGGAGCTGTTGCAGCTGCAGCTATAGCTGATCAGATGCTTGGACCAAAGGAGGATAGACATCTAGCTCTTGTCCTGGTATTCTTCTTCATGAATAATTCAATAGTTTTTTTTATAGTTTACCATCTTTTACCTCCTTTACTGTAAATTAGTTGTCAAATTGGTGTTATCCAGACTTTAAAATGTTGACCTTCTTCATATTCCTAAAATAGAACCATATGGTATGAACTCTACCAATTACGTGAAAGAGAATCAGCTGAAGTTGTTAAGTATAGGCAGTGCTAACTAGTTGCTTGACTCTTAGGTTGGTTTGCCAGCTCGGGGAAAGACCTTTACTGCTGTTAAACTTACACGATATCTTCGCTGGTTGGGACATGATACTAAGCATTTTAATGTTGGAAAGGTTATTGTACTTTACCTTGAATGCCCTCTTTGCTTTGACTTGTTTGAAATGAAATAAGAATAACTTGGATCTTTATTTTTTCCCATAACAGTATCGTCGACTCAAACATGGTACAAACCAGGTAAATCTAGGCACCTTTGTTCTTATTCTGGGAGCATCTCCTGTGATGCTGCTAGTAAAATTTATGCTGTTTGCTTTGCACGTCAATAAACTCACTTTCTTTTATTGGCTTTATCTAATAAATTGATAATTGAAATGGAATGTTGTGCAAATCCTTTTTTTCTTGTTGGGAATGATTTTTGGTTGGTGATTCACCCTTTCATTCAGTCAGCTGACTTTTTCCGAGCAGACAATCCTGAAGGCATGGAGGCACGTAATGAGGTGAGTGTCTGAGAAAGATTTTTCTCTTCTTTCTATCTGTCTTTAAAATGTGTTGCTTGTTTTGAGTGCAGAAATTGAGGCCTTGTTAAGAATTCAATGTACTGTATCATAGTGCTCCTTAGAAGATTGTAAATTTTGAATTTCATTATATTTTCAAGAGCAATGTTTGCCATTAAACACTTTCAAGAAGCATTCTGTGGCACCTAAGTAGAAGCTGGCAAAGTTTTTTCCTGCTACATGCAGGTCTAGTAAAACTCCTAACCCATCTTAAGGTATGTAAATCAAATATTTGTTGGCAGACACCACAAGTATAAAAGTCAGAAGAATTAGTATTGAATTAATTGTATGATCCAAAGAAACTCTTGGTATGAATCACCATCAGCAGCATGATTTAATTTCTCCACTTAGTGAATAGTTGGTTTTCATCTCTTCATGGCTTGAATTTCCATTGAAAAATATGCTTTTACTAATTAAGTTGTTTTTTCTTTGATGATTGATTGATATTAACCATATTAGTCTTCAGTTTGTACGTAGTTTTAATGTGTCACTTGCTGCTAGGTAGCAGCCCTGGCAATGGATGATATGATAGCCTGGATGCAAGAAGGTGGCCAGGTAAGTTATTTTGTGACAAGTATTTCTCCCTTGTTCTGCTGACTAATTTACTTCATTAAATCCCTTCAACTGTAGGTTGGAATATTTGATGCAACTAACAGTAGCAGGAGTAGACGGAATATGCTGATGAAAATGGCTGAAGGAAATTGTAAGGTACTGTTATTACAGAACAAGGAATCAGCTACCTGTATCCTAGAAGAACTGATATGGTTGTTTGGTGGAGCATGTGTGATATGTTGCAGATGATAAGGAAAAGCTAATAAGCCCATAGGGCCTGGCTCATTACTTTTTCTGGGGTTATATAATCCTTATTGTACTCATGTGGCCGTAATGCATTTTAATTAGGTTTGTTACGACTGCATATACCCACGTAATTGGGGACACTTGTGTGTGACTCATGATCCTGCATATGCTGTTTTACTGAAATCATGATTAACAAATGTACATCTGATGTATTGCTTAATGATATAATACAAAGATTAATCCAGAATATACTACATCTAATTTTAATTTTCTAATATATTTATCTTTGTTTTTGATTGTAGATTATTTTTCTAGAAACAATATGCAATGATGAAAGGATTATTGAAAGAAATATTCGTCTTAAAATACAACAAAGTCCTGACTATGCAGAAGAGTAAGGCTCTAATTAGTAACATTTTGCTTCCTGCTCAGATGAAGAGTTCCAGACTTGCTTATCAATATTGTTTTGCAGGCCAGATTTTGAGGCTGGATTACGGGACTTTATAACCCGATTAGCTAATTATGAAAAGGTAGTTTCTGAATGGCTTTTGTAGTTCAAGGTTAACATTTTTGCTTTGGATACTCATCGCCATTCTAAGGTGCACAATTGTGCTTATTGTTACTAGGTTTATGAACCAGTTGACGAAGGGTCTTACATCAAAATGATTGATATGGCTAGTGGGCATGGTGGACAAATACAAGTACAGTTCAATACTTCTTCTTTATCATTGTTTATTTGACTTTTGTGTTTCATGCATGTGCACGTGGGATCAATGGTATCATGCGCATAAAATGGTGTATCTAGTCTGTCTTGTTGTGCCTGTAGTTAAAAGTAGTGTGCATATTTGGTTCTGTCTTGTTTGGCTAATATTTGGAGAAAGTTGTCATTATTATGGCATTGTTGTTCTTAAAGCTTTTTCTGGCATATCTTTTGTTTCTTTTTTCCTTAAACGTTTACCCTTCTTCTTTCTGAATTCTTAAGATGATTCCATTGCTTTGCAATATTAACTAAGAATTTGCATGTTTACTGGATTCAGGTTAACAACATCAGTGGCTACCTTCCTGGACGAATTGTCTTTTTCTTGGTATGGTGTGCAGTGAGCTTCATTTATAATCACATAATTAATTTTAGTTATTAAGTCCCTTTTCACAGTTTGTCCTGGTTGTTATATTGGATGCAAAACCTTTTTGGCGAAGGAACTAGGGCACTATTTTTTGAATTGGAGCTCAAAACAATTTGGAATCCAAGTATTTTTTCTTCTTCTTGATATGGCCTTAAATCTTGGTTAACATAACATATCCTGGTGAAATTATATCTGACAACATCATGCAACTGCACTTGTGACCGAGTTATGTTGCAAGATATGGAAGGAGTTGTAACATCAGATTCTACACCTGTTGACATTTATTATTTACATGTGTTAAAGTAAGTGTTTACATTTACCATTTTCATAATATGATTTGCAGGTCAACACCCATCTCACACCTCGTCCAATATTATTAACCAGGCATGGAGAGAGTCGTGATAATGTTAGAGGTAGAATTGGTGGTGACAGCGTATTGAGGTAGCCTTTTCGATTGTTTTTATGGCATAGGTGGTTGCAGTTTTTCCTGTCGATTTGTTTGTCTTTCTTTGACATGATAACTTTTATCAGAATACTGGTGTTGATCAATGTTTGTTTAAATATCCTGTCATGAATGAGAGATATACTCGTATCTTTAATATTATTGATCTGATTTCAATGTGATTGTTGGTTCAATTAACTTACTACGAATTTCTTTTCCTGTTGCAACAGTGATACTGGAGAAATATATATGAAGAAACTAGCAAACTTCGTTGAGAAGCGACTGAAAAATGAAAGGACCGCATCTGTAAGCTCCAACTTGGTCAATGCTTTACTGTTTACATTTATACCCAAGCAAGTTAAATCTTTTCTTTCAGAATTCAATGTTATAATCCCGTTCCATGTCCTGGTCATTCTTCACTTTTGGAAGCCTGCTTATATACTTAAGTGGTAGAGTTATTGCCTGTTGGCTGTTATTTCTTTAGCTAGAGATAGTTTCATTTGCTAGTTTATTGATCTAACTTAAAGAAAAATTCGAGTAATTTTTTGATACACAGGCTGTGGCAACTTAACTCAACCCTGCCTATTAGAACCTGAAAATCTAAAACCCTAAACTCTAAATCGGACACATGGCATTAAAGTAGACACTAGACAGGCTTGTGTATAATAAAGTTTACACAGCCTGTTTATCAGATAATTTTCCAAAATAAAATGCTTTCAAACTATAGATCATTCAAGTATATCTCAAAGATCTACATTTTGGCATCATGTTTTGGGTAAATGAAATTGTATAGATGTTATGGAAAGCTGTTTCTTTGGATGTTATATATTATGCACTGTTGCCCACAATACTGAAATAGGCTCAGATTACTGACACTTCATCAAACTGTGTTACAGAATGTGTAAGCATTTTTAATTTTTGTGATTTTGTTGTAATATAGATTTGGACCAGCACCCTCCAGAGAACAATTCTGACAGCAAGTCCAATTGTTGGATTTCCAAAGGTGCGTGTGAAACCATGAGAAAGTAACTTGTCCGTCCCTTTGTTGATTGTTCACATTCTAGCCATTATGGAAGTTGAAATTAATATATATTGGTATGTTAACAGAGGGATAATTCTTCACACTTTTGACAGATACAATGGCGTGCACTTGATGAGATAAATGCTGGTGTGTGTGATGGAATGACTTATGAAGAAATAAAGAAGAATATGCCAGAGGAGTATGAGTAAGTCTTCCTTATCACCCTCTTGCTACATATTTTTTCTCACCGGTTGAGAAAATTTGACCCAGGAGAATGTAACATTATTATAGAGCTTTTCTTATCATTGGTTTTGTTAATTCATGTTATATGAAGGAGCTTGTGTTCTGTGTTACTTTCACTCAGGTATGGATGTCGAATATGGGCATGTATCCAAGTGTCTGACACTCCTTTCATAAACAAGTATTGGATTTGTCTAGTCAGTTAAGGAGTGTCCGAAAATAGGATGTGGGTTTAGGGGTTCGTTTTTTATACCTAACTTCACCATAGTTCCAACCTCTTAGGGTATATACCATTCTATAGTTGAATGGCTAACAAAGATGCTTTATCTTTTGGGATTATTGTCTTATAAATTCTATAAAACTAAACCTATACTTATAATCTAGGTGGACATTTTTAATCATATTAAAGGTAATGAGATTTTTATCCTGATGGTGCTTTGTAACTGAAATGGGTTTACATTATCTCATATGTACATGGCTTATATTGTAAATGGATTTTTTTTTTCTTTTCTAAAGAAAAGTTAGTTAAAGACTACAAAAGCCTAAACCTATCACGTAGACTTGTCTAGATTACTCTGTAATTTTAGTCTTCCTCCTCTCTTCTTTCTTCATCAAAGTGGACAGTGATCTCTATTCAAAACCCAATGAAAGAAGGTAAAAAGCAGGTGAACATGTGAGATAATAATTGGTTCACACTAAAGCTGGTTTCAAGTTTCAACCTCATTATCCTTCTCATCTTTATATCTTCCCAGACCAATAATTTCCTCAATTACTCTTCTACCCCTTTTTATTTTGGTCAATATATGGTTTGGGTTGTTTTAGTTTGATGTTCTTATAATCCATCAATCATCTCTGCTATTTGTTTTCTTCATTGTCAATTCAGTATTGCCATTACTGTAGCGGATGCATATTCGTTTCTGCACTCGAGTGGGTGTGTTGTTGTGCCAAACCTTAAACCAGAAGGGGTTTGGTGCTATAATATGCTTAGTCCATGTAACACTGCTTGTGTTGGATCAAAACATGTAATGATTTTACTGCAGTCTTGGGTAATTATGTCCTATTTATAGGTCTCGCAAGAAGGACAAGCTTAGATATCGGTATCCTCGGGGAGAATCTTACCTGGATGTTATTCAAAGGTGAAGAGTGTGTCAACATACTGACCTTTGAATTGTTTGCAAATAATGTTTTACATTCAAACTTTTGAGGTTCAATTCATCTTCCACTTTAATGCAGGCTTGAACCTGTAATTATTGAGCTTGAACGACAAAGAGCACCCGTTGTAGTGATATCTCACCAGGTTACATTTAATGGCAAAATCTTGTGCTTTTTATGAATTCTCATGCTGTGAGTAATAATCTTGAGTGGTTTATTATTGCTTTCATTTTCAGGCTGTATTGAGAGCGTTATATGCTTATTTTGCTGATAGGCCCCTCAAGGAAATTCCTCACATTGAGGTAACTAATAGATAAGTTGAAATTGTTGTCTCGACTTATTTGTTCTTTTGGGTGTCATTAATCTATTGCTTCTTTCTATGCTCTCTGTATGCGAGGAGCTTAGTCTTTGAAATGAAGAAAGATATGATGCCCTGTTCTCTCTCCTTTTACAATAGATAGATAGAACATTATCTCTGATCCACGAAGTAGAAAGAAATTTATATGCAAGTTTTACAGAATCATGGCTTAGCCTCTCTACTTTGACCTTTTAGAACTTATGTTACTTGGACTTAGATGTGAATGTTGATACATATGGATCTAACATTCGTATGAAAAAATTTGAAAGTAATTCCATTTATTTGGGTGTCTTTGGAGGTTCATGTCTCCAAATGCATTTTCGAATGCTTTGGATATGAGTAGACTTGTTAACTTTGACTCGAACCTGACCTAACCTGAATCCAAACCCAACCCAACCCAACTCGGTTGTAACCTAAACCCTAAATTGACCCAAAACTTGAAAATTTTAAAACCAAATTATTCCTAGTTAGATTAACTCGGTCCAAAATCAACCCTATCCACCCTATTAACAAGAAAAATATATGGGTACTCCAAGAAAAACAGTGTGTTCAAGTTGTTTAACAAGGCATGTGTAGTCTTTATATAATAGAATAAAAAAGGTACAAATGAAAACATTGTTTTTTGAGTTCTTACATTTGATATGGTTCCAAATTGCAGGTGCCACTTCATACTATCATAGAAATAAAAATGGGAGTAACAGGCGTTCAGGAGAAAAGATATAAACTAATGGATTGACCACACCTCAAGAGATTTGGTTTTCTTGATAATGGAACTTGTCCAAATAACATTGAGATGCATTTTTCATTGATTGTATTTTTCTTTGTAAAAAATATAAGATTAGTAACAATCCAACTGTTGTACCAATAATAGTAATTATTACAATTAAAATATGTAAGTTTTGCTCCATCAATTTCTAGTTTCCAATCTTCTTGTATCATGCGGAACTTGAGTTTAGATCATGTGTTGGGAAAAATTACTTCCTCGTATAAGGTGCTAGGGCTATTATTTTCTCATCTAAGGTGAATGTTACATTACTCAACGGAAGACACTCTTATTCTTAGAAGATTTGGCATATTCGGTGTTTTATGGGAAGACCTGATTTTATGGTCATACATGAAGTTTGAGAAGACGCCGTGTCTTTTGGGCATAATCTAAACGGGCATCATCTAAAATTGTCTATAAACGTATTTCATAGAACATTATAGCATTCTCCTTAGATGAGAAAATAATCGTGAAAATAATCATCCTACTATTTTATACAAGAAAATCAACCAAGTTTACCCTAAAACAGGGTTCTAATATGTGATGGGATTGGAGAAATGGGTAGATTGCGGTGGGATTGGGTGAAGAATCACGAGGCTGGCTACTCCTAGTGGCACAAAAGTTCTAAGTTCTCCCGAAACGTGTAGTCAAAAAAGGTGCAATTTAAGGAGTCAAAAGGGAACCTCAGTCTGGTTGGATTCACATGGATCCCCCAAATGAATTGAGCCCTCAATTCGTAGTAGAATCGTAAAGGGAAATGTCACAAAGAAATGGTCCCTGTCTTGGGTTCCCTAAAACAATCACATGAAGAATCCTATAACCCATCTCCTCAACTGCCGTCGCCTTCACGAGTCCTTCATTTCCAAACCCTTTTTTACTCTCATTTACTCCTTGGATTGTGGGATTCTCTTTTGACTTGAATACACACATTACATGAAGTTTCTCTCTCTCTCTCTCTCTCTCTCACACACACACACACATATATATTTAAGGAGCAGAATTCCATGATTTAATCACTCATCCCAACAAACAACTTGACTTTCTCGTAAACATCTACACAAGATTCCAATTCCATTGATTTCTTATTCTTCTTCCTCAGTCATTAGATATATAACAATAACCCCCATTTCAATCTCCATCACATCAACATCACACTTTAGACTCTCATCTTCATTACTTGCAATAATTCAACTTTGCACAGTTTCATCTTCGACAGAAAAAAATGTCAGTCTCCATCGACCCACCAGAGCAGAACTCGAACCCAATTTCTCATCTCCTCAGCTCCATTTCTTCCTACGATGGCAACGTATTGCTAGCTGCCATCGTCTCTCTGATTCTCGTAATTCTCTTCGTGTTGCTCCTCCACGTCTACGCCAAATGGTTCTTGGCTCAAGCTCGTCACAGAAGTCGATCTTCTTCCCTATCTCACGTCTTCCACCCCGATCGCCTCCGCCATTTCCACGCCTTCAGCGCCACTTTCCCCACCACCCCATCAAAGGGTCTCGATTCCTCCGTCATCTCATCCATTCCATTGTTTGTTTTCAACGTGGAAGAACACCACAAGCTTGGGTTAGAGTGTGTGATCTGTTTAAGTCTGTTCGAGGATAATGAAGTTGGAAGGAACTTACCCAAGTGTGGCCATGGCTTCCACGTCGAATGCATTGATATGTGGCTCAACTCTCACTCAAATTGTCCCCTTTGCAGAGCTCCTGTGTTGGGTACTGATCATACGGATTCTCAAGCGAGTTCGTTAGAGAGTGGGGGGGAAATATCGAATGGTGAGAATCTTAGTGATTCATCCTATTCTGGTGATGTCGCCATTGATGATAATGATCATCTTTCAGCATCGTCTTCTTCTTTGACACTCTCTTTGAAGAGAATGCTTAGTAGGAACAGATCAGAGAGCAAAGTTTTTCCCTCATCAATCCCACCCAGTGAGGTTCAAGTTTGAGAAATTATGAAACTTGTTTACCATCTTTCTCCTACTTCCAATTGATCCAGGTGATTAAGGCCTCATATTTTCCTCTTATTTCAATCTTCATTTTTTATTAGGTTTTAATCATTTGCTGCTACAATTCCCGACTCTGTAAATTTATGTGCAAGCAGTACTTTTAACTATAAATTATAATTCTATTTTCTAAACTCAAAAATGAGCCAATTAGAAACGTTAATTCCAAAAATAACTAAACATTTAAAATAACTCGAAATAGAAAATAATTGAAACTTAAATGCTTAAAATATGTAATGATTCGATTTAAAAATAATAAACTCTTAGACTCGAATGGATTCATATCTAATCTGAACTCAAAGGTGATGTAAACAAAAATGTGGGTCTGAAAAGTGTAAATGCAAAAAGGGGACATTTTCAGTTGGAGGACAAAAAGTCTTACCTTGTTATGAATCAATCATGTGATGTGAGTGACATAAATGGTCAAACAAATACTGCACATATTTATTAGAAAATCCAGATCAATGGTTGGATTTGGTCCACCTCAGGCCCATTGAATTCACTTCATTGTACTCTGTGTTGCCACTTGAAAAACAATGAAAGCTCTTCTTTTCCACAGCTTTATAGTTAAAAAAAAAAACCCAAAACTCATTAGTCAGAAAAATATCCGAAACATGATTAATTGGAAAAATGTTCTCAACTGCAAACGTAAGATTACCTCATGTCCTACAAAACGTGTTTAAAAGTCTCATGTTTCATAAAGTGTAAGTCTCATTCAATGTGAAAACACTTTTTAGATAATATAATTTAATATGTAGATAAATGACCTCGCACTAGACCAAACAGGTACCCGAGATATTAAAACTTTTCTACAATTTATCACGTGTAGTATTTATCATACCTCGCGTTAAACAGAACACAAGTTATATAGATTTACAACCAAAATCAAAAGTGTTTATAGGCACGTTCGAGACGTATTTTCAGGTAGTTAACCTAAAAATTTTCGCAATTTATAAGATTAATGGCGTAGTATTGGAATTTATCGTTCAGTTTAGGCCAAGATCGACACATACGAGATATTGTAAGTGCGTTAAAAATCGTGTTCAAAATGGTTCCAAAGCTTGTTTTGTGCATGAAGAAAATGCTAAAATGGTTTGATAGGCATATTCGAGGGGTTTTTCAGGTAGTTAATCTGAAAATGTTCGTATTTTATAAGATTAGAGGCGTAGTATTGTAACTTATCTTTTAATTGAAGGTAATATCAGTACATACGAGACATTGTAAACGGGTTAAAAATCACGTTCAAAATTGTTCCAAAGCTTGGTTTTATACATAAATAAGTAGCTAACATGGCTTGATAAGCATGTTCGGTGAGTATTTTTCGACTAATATCAGCACATATAATAACATAAAATATAATACCATAAATTTAAAAAATAACATAAATTTCAATACCATAAAATACAATTACATAATTATTGTACATAAATTACAAACGAAACAATGTTTTCCACTGTGTTTGATGGTACATAAATATCGTTCTTGAAGGAAACCCTCCGTACTTTATGCATGACAAAAAGATATAGAATGCAAGTGGAGGTGTGCCATTTATCATGCAAAATGCGAGTTTGATGACAGAAGAATCAGGCATAAAAATGACATTATGAACCAAGCTCACGACTGTCATTTTTGTTCGGATTAATGGTTAAGATTAATGCCACTAGAAGAGGATGCTTTTTTTTAGAAACGATAAGTTTCTCGAGAATACCAGGTTACTCGTGTTGAAGAAAGTTTATGAGAAATGCGATCTTAATTGAACAAGAAGTTTCATGAGAATACCAGGTTTGACGAAAGAAATGTGAAAGACAAATTAGAATGTCACCACTAGACCAAAAGATGATGCCTTATGTAGGCAAGGGTTTCGCGCTATGCAAAATGCATTTTCCATTGAGATTCATGACGTGGCAGTAGCGTACACATTTATTTTTTTATTATGTTTATAAATTAGTATTAAAATAAATTTCATAAAATATGATGGCTCCCAAAGTATTTATGTATTCCAAAAGTATTTATGCATCGAACCACACTAATTATCATATTGTTGAAGGATAACATAAAAAGCTACATTTAAAACAAATTAATCGATACAAGGGTGTGATCGATTAGGACATTTGTTCTTCATGTGTCTGAGATTCCTATAGATAGTGCATAGCTTCGTTTATCTGGTTCTTTTTTGATGTTTGACCAAATCCTCATCACAGTAAATCCTCGTTGATCGTGGACGACCCTTTTTTCGTTCCATAGTGCAAAATCTGGTCGTATTGTAGGTTCATCATCAAGTTCGTTCGAATACATTCATTTTCAATGAGAGGAAACTCGTATTGATAAACATTGAATACAGTTTCAAGTAAGTATATTGTATCAACGAATTGCATGTAGTGAATCCATACAGAAGAACAAGCAGTAATGGCGTGGGCACACAAGTATTTGAATGTTTGGCATACTGCGCGGTCACATGTTCTTTCTCGTAGATTAATTATGTATGCGTTGTGTTGTATGCCTTCCAATGGCCTTGAATATTCCAAAACATAGAATTTATTTTATTCGCGAGAGATACATGTCGCATTCATCGTGTTTGAATATTGAACAAAGATTTGCAATTTTGTGTAGAGGTATAGGTGGACTGTGTGGCCACCTACCATCCAGTCAATTGCTTGTTTTTTCAAGGTTGCAAACAGTGTTTCCCACCGATAATATGTTGCTTTGACAATGAAAGTGATAGGTATGTCGCACTCCTTTCAATGACAAATCGATCGCCTCAGCCAAGTTCGTTGTCTTATGACCATATCGTCTACCCTCATCAAATGATCGAATTCATTTCTCCCTCGAGATTTTAGTAAGGTAGTTATAGCCTTGTTGATTCATGTGTCTTAATTCTTGAAACAACTCCTCATCTTCACGTATGAAATGCAAATGACCTATCCATTAAAAATGCAACAATTATTTAGAAATAATAAATGAAAATATATCTTAAAACCAAAAGAGTGAAAGACGTACCTATTTGATCCATGCGCCTTTGTTAGAAATATAACATATCACATCATCTCTATCACGCAATACATGTGATAGAACATGTCTTCATAAGTTCTTAAGGAAGAATTCCCAATAATCTATGTCTTACTTTTCGACTATCGCAAAGGCGATGAGAATAGTTTTCCTATTATCGTCTTGTGCAACCGATAACAATATTATTTGTGTGTCTTTTTCGTACAACCAAGTGTCGTCGATATGAACCATCGGCTTGTAGTGTCAAAATGCATTAACACACTGTTGATATTTCCAAAATAGCCTATAGAATTTGCACATACCTTGTACGACAAGATCATTTTCGTATACCGATATAGTGTTAACTTTCACAACTATTCTCGATATGTGTTTTTGTATCATTTTCAACCATGACCACAACTCTTTGTACGATTCTTCCCATTAGCAATAAAATTTTTGTTGAGTCTGTTACGTAACATACCATGCTTTATGGTAGTTAATTGTTTAAACCTTATTGAGATGTAATTACAACAATACAACTAGCAACTGTTATACGTAGATTTGCTTTGACTAGTGAAATGAAGGCATCACAAAATACGTACACATCTATGTTAAGATGATCCTGATTGAGTATATTAACGGTGCATGTATGAGATTGATCGTGTTTTGTCAGCTTCCATAGGTTGTTCATCCTCTTCAACCGTGATACACGAACCCTTCAACTATATCCCTCGTACTTGTGGACATATTCAACCATGTACTTGTTTTTGTCTGCTTTTTTCACAATCGATGTAACCGAGCGACGTATACTATAATTTTTAATGGAATCCACAACGAGTTCTTTTGTTTTAAACGTCATTTAAATATAGAGCTCACCATCAGTATGTTGGTTGTATTTCTCAAGCTGTGGGAGTTGAAAAACTTTTGGAGCATTGAAAGGTTCTATATCAACTGTTGTAAAGTGGGATGGTTGTTGGTAATAAGAAACATGAGGTGCAACATGTGGAATGACATCATCATTCGCTCCCATCGATATGTCAAGGTCTTTTAGTTCTTCATTGAAGGGCCTACCTCGTCACCATCGGGGTCATTATCCCTTATCGGTTCTTCATAAAAAATATCTCACTCAAGTCGGAATAGTTCTACGTCATCAACTGCGGGGATAAAAAGAGTAGCAGTTGTGCATTGATCACGAGACCACTCATGAGAACGCTTATGAACCGTACTACCAAGATCATAGTCGATAAAACCAGTACAAAAATGTCTCCCTATAAATGTTGAGAAATTGTCTAATGGGTTAAATGCTTCATGTTCGTGTAACCTCATGTCATGCTAAGAAGATGACGCATCTACAACAATATTGTATGGATTGTACATGAATGTTGTGTTGGTGAAAGATTCAGGTCAAAGTCGAAGCTAGCTATGCAAGAATGCATTGGCATCAAAGATTCACCCATAGGTTAATATTTTGTAGATTCTATAGGTTGTTCATCCTCTTTAAGTGTGATACACAAACCCTCTAATTATATCCCTCATACTTGTGGACACATTAAGCTATGTACTTGTTCGTGTCTGTTTTTTCATAATCGGCGTAACCGAGCAACGTATATTATAGTTCTTCATGGAAGCCATAACAAGTTCTTTTGTTTTTGAATGTCATTCTAATATAGAGCTCACCATCAACACATTGGTTGTATGGCTCAAATTGTGGAAGTTATTAAAATTCTAGAGCGTTCAAAGGTTCCATATCAACCGTTGTGAAGTGTGATGGTATTTGAAAATAAGAAACATGAGGTGCAACATGTGGAATATCATCATCATTCGCTTCCCATTCTAATATAGAGCTCACCATCAACACATTGGTTGTATGGCTCAAATTGTGGAAGTTATTAAAATTCTAGAGCGTTCAAAGGTTCCATATCAACCGTTGTGAAGTGTGATGGTATTTGAAAATAAGA